CCTCAAAGCTAAAAACTTTCTGCGCATGCGCCGCGTTGGCACATGCGTTACGCGTGCGTGTAAGACCTTTACGACTGCGCGTGTGCGCAAGCGCAGAATACGTTTTCATGTGCACGGTTAATGTTTAACGGACGGTATAAGCTAAAATTATCTATTTCAGTTAATGTTGATGATTGCGTTGTTCCTTAATCTTCGAACTGGATCCGGCTTATTACTTTTTTCAGACTAAGAGCAATTTTATAAAAGTAAACTTGAACTTTCGATTATGTCAAATAGAATTTCTGATGCTGGAGCTCCCAAAGGATCTACAAAACGAAAGTATGTTTCGATGTCCATCAAACAAAAAGTGGAATTGCTGCAAAAAATGGATAAAGATATGAAGAAGGTGACAGAGAGGTTAGTGAAAACGAAAAAATTTCGATTGACAAGTTAGGCGGTATTCTCAGCACAGCAATTACGGGACTTGAACAGCGGAACTTTGTAACTGAGCAAGAAATTATGTCAGTTTATAGAATTAAAGAGAAAGTATTATCACATAAAACGAAGCAACTTAAACAACTTACATTGAAAGAAATGTTTAATAAAGTAAACAAATAAATATTAAGCCTTTTTTTTTGTAAATTTTGATACCCTTTAGGTCATAATTGTTCTTTATTTCATAAATTACGGTTTCATATTTTTAATTTTAGAATTTCTGCATGCCATTTTATGAGATTTAAACTGATGATCTATAATTCGGAATCGCCGAAGTCCCGACGAGTCCGGATTAATGACATTTGACTGTAGTTACTATTTAAAGTTAATTCATTATTAAAAACTATATTTTCATCATTAAAAAAGTCTTTTTAACATTGTGAAAAATCTCCTGATTTTTGAGTGTCATAGGTTGGCAAGTATGCTTTATAAACCGGTGTGGAAACCATTAAACAAACTTCGTGGTGATCCCACATGCTGCCATGTGTTGTTTGACTGTTGTTCTGATGCCATTTACAATATATTTACTAGTTTGTAGACTGCTGGATGTGAATCACTTGTTATGGCTTCATCCAAAACTTCTTCAGAAATCACTTCCAAGAGATGGTTGATTTTGACGCAGTCTCCATTTTAGACTGCCATCTACTGCATTCTCACCATGAACTTACAAATGTTTTGATAACCTGCAGCTTTCCACAGACTTTTACACTAATCATTTGATGTGTTCCTTATCGCTCTCAATTTAAGTCATTAAATACTTCTTTGGTCAAAGAGTTAGTTACTGCAGCTTCATCTGTAATATAAGTTGTCCAGTTGCAGTTTATATCTCGCAAATAGGTAGAATTTTCACACACAGCCATTAACATGTTTGAGACCTGTGATATAAATCTAGTCTTATTAGTTTGTCTCCTTGAAGTTTTGTACCTTTGATTTTGTTCTTTGTATTTTTGCATTAGTATCTCTTTTAAAATCTTAATTATATATAATTTGATCAACTTTGGTCTAATGATTTTTAACTATCATGTGTAAAGGCTCAGGGCTGTGATAATAAAAGTAACTCTGGAACAAATATCAAATTTCAGCCTCTTAATTTTTTCCCTTTCTTTTTTAATAATAATTAAAACAAGATCAAACAATTTTCATTTATGTACTAAAAACCATATTAAAACATTGCTTAGGTCAGAGCTTTTATAGGCATCCCATCTGTTTAACAAACTCCATCACAAAAGTAGCCCTAAAAATAGAGAAACATCAAAATTATCACAAGATCATGCTGCAATAGAGACTTCCCTTTTAATCTACCATAAATCTAAATATTAGTTCTTAAAAGAAAAGCAATAAAAGGAGTTAAACTTGGGCAAGTCATTCATTGGGATATTAGCTGGTGAAGCAGACAGACCACCTGCAAAAGAACCAATCTTGGTTGTGTTTTAATGTGGTTTTTAAGATATAAGCCAAGACTACTTTATCTTATTTTAATTTTAACTGTATGTGCTTTTTGATTCTTCAATATATCTTCTGTATCCCTCTGAAAATAATTGTAATGTTTTATATATGTATATTTTGTTCCTTTCTCATTTTCTCTATTTAAGGCAAGTGCTGCACATCTTCAGCATGGCTGTGATGATTGTTTCCATAGTAAAAATTTCAATATCATATTCATGTGTATTACTTTGTCACAATGAAAATTAAGTCTCCAACTCCATGGTTGGTTTGTTTTTAAACTGAAATTCATTGGCAAAATTCTATTTTCTTAATCCATTATTTAATATTGCCAATTTTAATTAATTTTCTGTATGTAATCCCCTGTAAATATTACACATAAGTGTGTACCTTCATTTTATTCACCCCCTAAAAAATTGTCATAGCTGCAACTTTCTAGGTTTTACAGGAAATTTCCAGTTTCTCATCACATCTCCCAATTTTTAACATTTAGTCTTCGTTAAGGAAAGTGTCATTTAGCAATAAATGAAGTTATTGAATTAATGAAACTTTAAATTGTGCAAATTCCATCCTCTGACCCCAAGTTATTTTCAGCACAACTTATTTATTAAATTTTATGGGATCTGATGTATCTTCACATTTGTAGAAGTTTTTAAAGAGATTCAACCAGTATTTAATCAGTTAAAAAAATAGTCTTCTTTGCTATAGCAGCCATGGGATAGAATCGTCAGTCAACCAAGATATCTCGCCAAAATCTGGCTGCTTGTTCTTATACCTTGCTGCAAGATTGTATGGAACATGCACTGGCTGCATGTTCTATACCTCGCCACGTAATTCTGTGGTAGCACCACATTCCGTTTTTCCTCTTGCAGTGTGTTCTTACATTATTCATTTTTGAAGAGGTTTCAAATTTGCATTGTTTGTTTAAAAAAACATAGTCATTGCTTTTTTTTTTTTCCTATGTGTGTGTGAATATGACGTTAGCAATTTTTAATTTACCTAGTGATGAGGTGGATTCCATATAATTTTTTCAAGAAAGAGGTCTTTTACCTCTTTCTTGAAAAGATAATACAGAATGAGTATGCAAAAATGGTTACAACATGAAACTTTATGTTAACGATAAAACCATTTGGAGGTGCATTGTTAAAAACTGTAGAAAGAAGAAAGGGCTGCATGTTGCAAATTGGTTCAGCAGTTCCAGAACATCGTACGTCACTGCTATTAAATTTATCCATTCTTCGTAGAGTAGTTGATGTCCTTGAAATGTAACAATGAGCTTAATATGTGTAAAATGCTGCAGTTGATTGGAACAATTATATGTGATAAACTAATAATAAGGATTAGGATTTTAAAAACATTCTTATGAAACAACTTGGGAAAATTGTTATTACAGTCAAAAGTCGTTAATTCGGACACCCGTAATCCGGAATGATCTATAATCTGGACCTCAAAGCTAAAAACTTTCTGCGCATGCACCGCGTTGACACATGTGCATAGGCGTTTACGCGTGCGCCTAAGTCCTTTACGACTGCGCATATGCGTGTGCGCAAGCACAGAATACGTTTTCGCATGCGCATTTAATGTATAACAGACGGTATAAGCTAAAATTATCTATTTCAGTTAATGTTGATGATTGCGTTGTTCCTTAATCTTCGAACTGAATCCGGCTTATTACTTTTTTCAGACTGTAAGAGCAATTTTATAAAAGTAAACTTGAACTTTCGATCATGTCAAATAGAATTTCCGATGCTGGAGCTCCCAAAGGATCTACAAAACGAAAGTATGTTTCGATGTCCATCAAACAAAAAGTGGAATTGCTGTAAAAAATGGATAAAGACATGAAGAAGGTGACAGAGATTTTAGTGAAAACGAAAAAATTTCGATTGACAAGTTAGTTGGTATTCTCGGCACAGCAATTACGGGACTTGAACAGCGAAACTTTGTAACTGAACAAGAAGTTATGTCTGTTTATAGAATTAAAGAGAAAGTATTATCACATAAAACGAAGCAACTTAAACAACTTACATTGAATGAAATGTTTAATGAAGTAAACAAATAAATATTAAGCTTTTTTTTTTTTTTAAATATTGATACCCTTTAGATCATAATTGTTCTTTATTTCATAAATTACGGTTTCATATTTTTAATTTTAGAATTTCTGCATGCCATCTTACGCGATTTAAACTGATCTATAATCCGGAATCGCCGAAGTCCTGATGAGTCCGGATTAACGACTTTTGACTGTATTATATATTGTGTTGTTTATTTGTACATTTGCACTTCACAAGTTTGGCGTAAGTGTAGCTGAGATCTTGGCGCAAATCTAAATTCTTCATATGTGGTTGGGGGCCACTATAGCAAAGGAGTACCGAAAGATATTTGTATCTAATTTTGCTTTACATCAAAGCATGATATTCAGTTTATCCTGAATCGCCAGAACTTTATGTACATTAATTTATTTTCATCTTGTTTAAATGTAGTTTTGATGAGTAAAAGCTTTCCTTCACTATTCAGGATTTTCTCCATATAAAAAAATAAGAAAATCATAGAATGAAATTAGCCGAAGAACATAAAACTTTCAATATTTAAAGTATTAATATATTTTACGTAAAATTATATTTTTGTTTAATTAATGCGATTACTTGAATCATGCTGTGGAATTCTGAAATGGGTCACTATGCAAAATTAAAACTTCTGGAAACTCAATTTTTTTCACAGGAGACCTCCTGAGTTTTCTTCATACTTCAAGTTGACAGGTGTAGTATGTTAATATGCCTTGATATCATGTTTATAGAATTTTTGTTAACATTTTGTGTCACAAAAGCAAATAAAAAAAAAAAAAAAAAAAAAAAAAAAAACTTTCATTTAGAATTTTAGCTATATTTTATTTTCTCTCTTGAATTTCTGGATGTATGTATATAAATATATTGTAGATGTATACACATATATATGCATGTATATGTATATTTCTACAAATAAATATTTTTGTTTCCTCGCCTGAGTATTGAATAAAGTGAATTCAATTTCATACAGACAAAGCAATATTTGAAGTAAATTTTTTTCTTCTTGGTTGACAACAACAGAAATCCTGAGGCCAGCTTAACGTCAAAAAAGAACTACAGAGCATCGGCCATGACCTAGAATACAAGCTGCAACTGTTATTCTTATAATGACTGCATATTTCATTTTTGCTCACATCTTAAAGACGGAATGCAAAAGCTGTTGAGTCTCAGAGCCATAAATTTAGAAACAGCATGTGGAACTTACCATCTGCAATATGACTATTTGTTTAAAAGTTTATTGCTCATACCACTTAGCACTCTATATGTTTAAAAAGAGTTCTTTTTGTATGCAGCTATTATGTTAATCAGCATGTTTTGTAACAGATATTTAATGCAAAGCAGAGTAATGAAGTCTGAAACCAGACTTGGTTTTAATCTTGATACATCAAGGGTTAATAACTAATTTCTTGTTGAGAAAGTACTTAAAGTTAATTAAAATCTGTAAAATGTACAAAAAAAAAAAAAAAAATTACTTTGCAAGTCTTTTTTTTCATTATTTAAGAAGGTAGAAATTATGTAATGTTATTTGTCATATGCTTTTGGTAAATAATATTGTAATATGAAAATATAACAATGATAAGGTACTTTCTTATCTATACCCGTGGCAAAAGGTCCTGAGAAAGTATTCATTATGCAAAGCAGTATGCCGCCAAAATAGTTATGTAGCAGCCCATGATATTGCAAAAAAGTATTCATGTGGCAACCTAGGTATGCATGTAGTACATGTCTATTTTGGATGGCATGCAACACTCAAGTTGTATGAATAGCAAATTTGTGCAGTTCCCTAATTTTGTTTTTAAGCAAAAACAGATTGTTGTGTATATGGGGAGACAGTGCAAAAAAATGTCTTATTACCGATGTTTTTTCATGCTTTTTTAATTTGATTCATTGCTCTTGTATGCAGTGTGCAATCATTATAAAAATCAAAGTTTTTTGTGCATTAGCTTGGTGAAAAATTAGTCACCAGTAAGTTTGCTAATACTCTCTAAAGTTGACAATGAGTTTGCAACCTTTTGATGGGGATGTAGATAGTAAGAAAGTACGAATAATAGTCTGAAAAGTGTTTTGTATTTCTTGAGGGAAATTATGTATACGTAATATACATATGTTGTGAATTTAGTTGCATCTGTGTTTTTTCTGTTGTATTTTAGTCATGACTTAAAAAGGGGTAAGTAGATATTTAATAACACTTTTTTTCTCATTCAAAATTATTACCCAATTTTGGTGATACATTTGCCAGATCTGTGGCAGCAAGTAAGTTTTTTTTTAATATATATTTTTTTGTTTATGTATTTATTTTTATTGTTTTTAGTATAATTGATTGATGAGATTTTAGTGTAATACTGAAATAATAACTCTTGTCACATCCATAATAGTAAGGAAAATGTCGAAAGTGGAAACCCTTTTACTAATTTTAACAGGTATGCAATTAGGAAGGTATGATCCAAATACAAATTGAATTTAGAAATTTTTCATTTAATGAGCTAACTTTCCTGTTTGTTTTATTTTCATTTCTTCTGCCTTGGCTTCCTTTTGTCTACAAGGCTGGCCAAGGGAGAAGGAAGTCATTGGCAATATTTCCAACCCAATTTTGATATAGTGGAAATTAAAATTTTTGGCAGATGAAGATTTCAGTGCATAGGCATTTAGAGTTTTGAACATTTCATGAAATACAAGACAGTAAGTGTAATTTTAATATTTGATACTTTCTAATTACTACTGATTTTATACTAATTGAATTGGAATCTCAATACATGTTAGCTAAAACACATGTGAATAATTAAGAGAGATAGAAATTGTGCAAACTTTTTTATAAAGCTACATGCAAAAAATGAGGGTTTTAAAGATTTCTTGTTCTTCATCAAGCAGTTGTTATTAATCATTATTGAGAGTTTTTCATAATTTTAATGGCTGGAATATTTAATTTTTAGTGTCATATATAGAAACATCAAAACATTAAAAATGAAATTAAATAAAAAAATTAGAAAACATTAAAAATGTTATCTTTTTGTTGAAACACATGTTTGAATGTCAGAAGAACTGGGGGGGGGGCAACTGAAGAATTTTTACATGTTTCAAATCTTGCTTAAATTCCCTTTTTCTGGATAAAAGCTGATTTGGGCCTACCTAATTATTAGGAGGTGGTTATTTTATGAAAATGTGCTAGGAAAAGAATTTATATTCAGTCTGAGATATCTAGTTTTAGGTGCCTTTGAAGAAAAAATAATAATGAAAACCTGTTAAGTGTACTAGGCATGAAAGACCAGCAGATGAGCATTTGATGTCTTTAGGCAAAGAAAGTTCAAGTGTCATTCTATGTATTATATAAATTAATTAATAATATTCTATGTATTATTTCTTAAGCTAACCTCCTGTGGATGATTTTGATCTTCTATGAATATTCTTTGTTCTTCCTTGCACAGCATGACTGTTGGTGAAGAATTGTACTTTCAGAAATATTGTACTTTTTCAGAGATAGTTGTCTTGGAGAAATTATTGTCATGAAATGTTTTGCTGTCTGTTTATTTATAATATTAAAATAATTTTATTTAATTTTAAATTAAAGAATATTTAGCCAGACTTTAAAAATTAGGTGGTTTATGATCTGTCTTTTCTTTATTTATGAATAACACATGGCTTCATACTTTGATAACCCTAGGTGATTGCCTAGTCATAAAATTGCAGCTTTAAGTGTGCTATTTCACCACATCAGGGGCTATGAAAAGCATTCTGTTAGGATCTGCATGGATGCTGCTGTTGTGTACTGTCACAACTAGCGTTTTTTGGTACCACAGAATATTGCAACAAATGCTGTGTATAAAGGTTGACTAATAACATGTCATGCTGCCTTTGATTGTGCAATAAAATTGTGTATTATATCTCTGTTGCCTTTGTTATTTCCATTTCTTATTGGGTATGTTTTATAGTGGATCTTGTTTGTTTAAATCAGTTTGATTAAAAGTAACTGCAGGTAGCTTAAAAACAATATAATAGAACAGATAGTTTGTGAAAGAAAATGATTTGATTTCACATGGATAGTGGACATTGTTTTAGTAGATTCCAAACCCCAAAGAATATTCAAGAACTTGAATCTTCACTTGTCACTCATGTCTTTCAAATGCTAACCCGAGAACAGGGCTGGCACTAGACTTTTTGCCACCTGGTGCAAACTCTGCAATTGCAAAATTCTGCCACCCATTTTCTTTCCAAATTCTAAAAATTTTGCCACCCCTTGCATTTGCACTGGTTGCACAAACTGGCCTTGCTTGAGAAGTCATCAAACATTTTAACACAAAACTTTGGGGGGAAAATTTAATTGATACCCAGTAAAAGCATCGATTAAAAAAAGAACACGTCTGTTTCAGTGTCTATGAATACCTATCAGTAGAATCATCTCATAACAGCCCAAACTGTTTATTTTGTTGAGGAAATTTAGCATTCCGTGTTTAATGTTTATCTGCATTAAACTTTGAAATAATCCATCGCTTTCTGTACTTACATTATTTTAAAAAATCGTGGAAAATGAAAACATTTGAACTTGAATATTTTTTGTCAAACTGTATTGGGAAAGTGAACCTCAAAATTCAAGAGTTTTAACTGTGTACTTCATTTATCAAATTTGTTTTGTACATTTTAAATAAATATAATTATATTAAAAAAATTATATCCAAAAGTTTGTTTTTTGTGAAATGGAAAATTTCACATTTTATTTTAAATAAAAACTCTTAATGTTACATAAAAAAAAAAAAAAAAAAAAAAAAAAAAAATTCACCCTTGTTATTGTTTGATTTTTCTTCTTTGAAGGATTCATAGGATTTGGGAATCTTTAAAGATCCGAGCTTAAGAAAATTTAGGATTTATTCCACCATTAGTTTTAAGTCAATATGTAATATTTAGTAAGATCATAATAAGTAAATTTATTAAAAATTTTAGGATAGCAAAAAATGCAATGCAGATTATCAGATGAGGTTATAGAACAAATGAAAATATTAAAAGGGAGGAGGAGAAGAAAGGGGGGAAGTAAAACTGCAAAAAAACATGCCAATAAAATCAATGTATTTTAATGTAACTTTAAAGTTTTTACTGTTATGTATGTTCTGTGGCTTTAAGTGCTATTTTACTGAAATTTGATATAAACTTATTTAATTGTGAACTTTTTAGCTTAAGGATGTTTTTATCATAGAGAACAGTGTTAACTTGAACAGCTCTAAATTTTAAAATTCTTGTTATTTAAAATTATACTCATTATTTAGATTAATGGTCTAGTTTTAACTCTTCCTTTTAATACTAGAAACATGGCATCCAATGGATTTTATTGCCTGCTCTTCATCTCCATTCTCCCTTTGGCCATGGAAATGGTAAGAACAGTCAACTTTGTTCTTCCAATAAATTTTAGTTTTGTGTTTATTTTTTACACACTACACTAAGCTTTTCTTGTAGGTATAACTACTCTAGTTTTTCCTATACAAATACTGCATTTTTTTAACATTAGTATTTATGGTTTTGTATTTTATTACTTGACATTTAGGTTCATTGCTGATTTTGCCTTTCTCTCTGTTAGCAATTCTAGCATCCTCTATGGCTTTCTTTTCTGTCTTTAAAAGTATCATGCTGTTTTTAAATTTAAATTCCCAATATTTTTATAGCAGCAGCTTTTTATTGGTATATTTGTGAGTTGCTATTAGTACTAAAACTAAAAGGATAAAGAATAAAATTGTGAATGAACTGAGCACCTTTATTAAGACTATATTATGCAAAGATTTACTGTCGAGGACATAATTTTATTTCTCTCTCTCTCGATTTATTTCATGTACTTAGAGAAATAATAAGACTGTCAATAAGATATAGAATGAGAGGTTTAGAGGATACTAGCAGTTGAATATAAATGCTGGGAAGCAATACAAGATCCTGTTATTTTTGATAATTGGAAAATGTTTTTCTTTTTAACTCATGATGTGTCATATATCATATACATTTTTGATTGCATATGGTTTATGAAATAAGAGAAGCTTGGTGGAGAATTTCAGTATCTTGTAAGTCTTTTCTTAGATATTTCTTGTGCATAAAGTGAAATCAAAATAAAGATGAGAGTTAATCATACTACAGGCAGAACAGCAACTAAGATTTTGGCTGTTAAATTTTTGTGATAGATTTCTTATATCAGAGAGTCTAAAATTGCATTTGTTTTTTGAAAAAAAACAATTTGCAACAAGGCTGAATTTTATTTTAGAGAAGTTCTTACTGTGCACATTATAATAAATATAAACCGAGTGAGAAAACATTTTATTTTCTTAATTATAGTGCATAATAACTGCGAGATATGTAATTGTATAAAATAGTTGTAATAAATCTGTATAAAAGATTGAAATAAAAAAGTGATGGTGTAAATAATTTGTAAAGATAAATTACTATCTTCCCCTCCCCCCGTCTGAAAATAGTATGTGAATTTTTTCTTTTAAAAAAAAGAAAAACTGAATAAAAGAGTTTTGTTTTTAAAAAAACAGCATTCTTTGGATTGCTGAAGTGCTTAATGGCTGTGTAAGTAAATCACTGAATTTTGAAATGAAAAATGTTTAATTTATCGGTATAATTAGTTGTGCTGTGACAAACTTAATCAAACACTTCGATTAGATTTTTAGAAGCAATAATTATGTATTTAACTAAAGTAATATTTTTGAAATCGGGCCTTTTCTCCCATTTTGCCAGTGCATTTTCCTTTTATTCGAATATCTAAATTTTTCTTTGTAATTTCAGTTTACTTTATCTGTTTCAGAAAACAATTTCCCCCCCCTTTTCTCTTTTGATCATTTTCTTTTTCTATCTCTTGGGCATAAGGTATGTGTGCATTAAATCTAAATTTTTACTTATTATTTATTTTTAACTTTGTTTATTTATTAACTGTTAAATTTAAAGAACAGTAATATCTTAAAAATAAGTTATAGTGTTCATATGCATGGATATCATAATACTGTGTTCGGTTTATAGAAATGCTGGTTTATGTTATGGTATTTTTCTCAGTAGTGCTTCTGATGATTGGCTACTTAAGGTAAGTAAGTTAATTAGATAAATAGCTGTGTAATTGTAGTTAACTACACTATATTTAAGCAGACATCTGGAATATGTGAGGTTTCTATTCTACTTTGAGGTATGTTATTTTAAAATATTTACTTGTTGTTGGAATAAAGTAATAAATTAATTTTTTTACATAATTCTTTGTTACTTGTAATAATCTATGTGTAATAATTTTACATTAAAATTCCACTGATTATGTAAAATAATTTGAATGATTATTGCTTTTTGTATTTAATATGTAAGATGGGTAATTTTATTTGTATAGTAACAAAAGTCCAAAAAGTTCAAAGTATATTTATCAAAGTATAATTTTATGGGTAGTAACTTTTTTTAAAAATTACTCTATATTTTTTCTTGTAAATTTACTTTTATGGGCGCTATTTTGTATTTTATAAAAGTTAATATATTTTGGAATTCTGATAATTCAGTCATTAACGGAATGTCAGATTATCAAGATTAACTAATTTTTTTAAAGTTCTATTTATCTTACTTAACAGTAATGTATTACTGTAATTTTAAAGATACCATATTTGAATTTTTATTTAAAGTTTGATTATAAAAATGTGAGGTGCTTTGACATTTGAATTGCTTAAAAGCCATAAGCATTGCAGAGACATGTTATTCATAATGTTCATTTTTGAAAAAAGTATAAATAAATTAAAATTTGAAAACCTGATAGCTTTATGGATCATCAGCTATATATCTTTAACAATACTTCATTATTTGTAAATAAAAAAAACCTTTGTTTAACACAGTATCTAAAGCAACCTTATTTCAGTAACTAATTTTTCTTGTACAACACTGCCTCTCATCTACAAATCATACCAAACACTACATGTAATGTGATGTTTGTATGCTATGTATGTATTTATAGTATCATGCACAGTTTCAAGAGGTCACAAAAATAATTATGTTTTTTTCTCAGCATGCTATATAAGCGATGAAATATCAGCCCGATGATCGTAATTTCCTTGGGAAAATAGTATCAAAGCAGTTTGAATTGTTGCATTCCACTTAGTGCCAGTTATTTACTCAGAAACTGTTTATGTATTTAAGTTGTTAAAAAAATAGGCTGCGGACTATCTGAACATAATTGCAGTTGAGTTGCACCCTTCCTTACATGACATCGGTCTTCCCAACTGGAAATGGTTCCAGCAATACAACGCCCCATGTCACAAGGTTCGAATTGTGTTTATGTTGTTCGAGGAACATAAGGATGAATTCCAGTTCATGTCTTGACCACTTAACTCGCCAGTTCTTAACCTGATGGCCACATTTGGGATGTCATGGAGCAGCAGCTCAGAGCTGAAACACCACCATGTCGGAATATCTCAACTTTGTGTGACCGCTGCTTAGATATTTGTTACAACATGTCTCTTGTCTCTATTCGTCTACCAAGAACTTGTGGCATCCATGCCAAGGTGAGTTGCAGCTGTTTTGCTGGCCAAAGTTCGCACATGTTATTGAGTAGCTGATCGTAATGGTTTGGCTCTTCAATGTAGCTGAGTATGAAAAAAATGTCCAAAGGATAGTTTACAGCCAATTTTGGTCTTCATGAATTTAATAGATTACCTTTTGGTTTGAAAAATTCTCCAGCTGGTTTTCGAAGAAACCATAGACAAATTTTAAATAAACCATCTCCTATATATATGTGTGTGTGCGTATTGTTACAGATTTTGTAAATATGTAAATAATTTAGTAGAGTTATGTGAAATTGTAGTACAGTCAAAAGTCGTTAATTCGGACACCCATAATCCGGACCTCAAAGCTACAAACTTTCTGCGCACACATCGCGTTGACGCATGCG